AAGATGACATTAGCAATGCATATGACAAGGAAAAAAACGAGGAAGCTGGACTGGATTTAGGAGAGACTGGAAAAAGTGGTACCAGCAACGGTAACATCAAGGTTGGAAGTGAAGCTCTTCCTTTCGGCGACTTTGCTCTTGAGTGCCTAGGACTTCTGGCAAATCTGAATCTGCGTGCTATTGACTTCTCGCGCGTACTCACTAAACTCAATTTGTTATCCTGGCTGAAGCACCGGCTCACCTCACCAACAGGATATTCTGGTTGCGACGTCGGCGGAGCCGGTGCAGGCCGACAGGTGTCCGGAGAAATAACAATGGCGGCAGCCGCAGCCGCAGCCGCCGCATCTACTGCGGCTGAAGATGGTCTGGGCGTCTCTGAGCTGAGTCCGTCGGATATCCGTTCAATGCATCCATCAGCCCAGGATGATGTGCTTTTGGAAGCAGTGCGTCTAGTCGGCACCATGTGCCAAGATGAGGCTGCTGCTCAGCTAATCGCCTCAGCAGGCATCATACAGGATCTAATAATTCTGCTTAATGGTAATTTATAGGCAATCTTGTATTGCTCATGAATACCTTCTTTTATTTTCACAATCTAATAGATGAATTGATGAGTGGCTGAAGAAGCTTCTGTTATAACTTCTCATTGGGTCCCTGTTCATTAACATTTTTAACCCCCAGTTTTTTGTTTTTTTCTATTCTCAGTACATTTTTTTGAACATCATATGCCATATGGATTTTCCATCCCAGGTAGTTTAGTTATAGCATAATATTGGGCGTGCGATACGGATTCATGAAGTGGCTGGTAGGATCTTTGATTTGAGCCAAGAAATCTTTGGCACATCGTAATCGAAATTGAAAGAGGGCGTATAGAGGAACTCTACGCTATAATAAGAAGTCACAACTGCCAAGCAATCTTATTTCGGTTTCTAGTACGACTAGTTTAAGGAACCTTTCCGCCCATGTGTTTGTCTGAAGTGCTAGCTCCAAGGAAATTAACCTACGAGATCATTTCTCTAAATCCATCTTTTCCTCATACAAATCAGCCATACACTTTACCTAATGGCAAACTGATCATTGATCAGTGGCTAAACCAAATGGATTTGTGATATCGGAGAGTGATGACATGCCTATATTTGGAGCCAAGCAGTAGAAAGAGAGACTGAGATAAGACTAGGAAAGAGGACTGTATAATAATAAAGCAGACTCTGAT